TTCTCCTGGCAACATTTTTAAAGGCCTGTAATTATTTTTATGGGCACATGGGATAAAATGCTGCTATCAGCTGCCCCAGTGTGAATTAGGAGGAGGACAACAGTAACCACTTCATCTGCTTTGGTAGATGGCACCAAATTTGCACCTGTGTAACTGAAAGGAGATGTTGGCCCATTGTCTTTTTTATGGTAATTCTGGGGCCAATCATCTTCCTCCCCTCTCCTCGCCCTTCCCTCCCTCCCCATGAATGGATCTTCCCCTCCTGCTGTCCCATGTGGTTGGGTGAGGGGGAGTTTGCTGCAACTCCAACAATGTGTGTGAAGAAGTTGATGGGCTTGGAGGGGGAGGCAGAGATTCTACTGGAAAAATAATACAGCCCCAGGCAATGTTTCCTCTAATCTTCTTCCAGCCATGTGCATTTTTCTTTCCATGTGCGGAATAAATTTTGTTATTTGCACCAAGTCATGCCTTATGTGCACCACCAGGAGAAACACAAACCTAACTATGGGGCACTCTACTAATCAGCTGGGAGGCAATGGAATCTCTCCTATGTGCACAGTTTACAGGGAATGTCCAGGCAATGTGGATGCCTTGAAAAGGATCCAGCGGAGGGCGACAAAAATGGTTAGGGGGCTAGAGCCCCTAAGGGGGGGGGGGTCCGTTCTAGCCTGGCGGGACTGAGCGACTCCTCTCTTGTGGCGTGGTGCGACAGGCTGGAGCACCCCTATCCCCCCTACTCCCCCGCCCACGGTGTAGTGAGCTGCTCTGGTCAGGCTGGGCTCACTGTGCTGCCCTGTGGGTGGGCAGGGAGCTGCTCTAGCCTGTCCAGGCCATGGGTTAACTGGTTACCCATTGACATCCCTAGACTAGACCTAGGGTCTTTCACCTGGGTGCCCTATGCACTGGACTACAGAGTCCTGTCACACTTGCACCCTGGCCCAATGACTGTGCAAGTATTTATCCATAGCAGAACGATCATTGGACCAGAGAGAAGAGGTGGGAGGGAGTTGACTGGTTTCTCTAGTAAGACTAGGGATGTAAGAGGTTAACCAAGTAACTGGTTATTGGGGAAGCAGTAGGCTTATCAGCCTGCTTGCCCAATAACCAGTTAACCAGCTCAGTTGGAGCAACCCACCACCCCCGGCTGTGGTGGGCCCGACCAGCTGGGCCCCACTCGTGGCCATGGTGGGCCAGAGCAGCTCCCTGCCCGCAGCCAGTGGTTAACTGGTTAAACAAATGGTTAACTGGTTAACTATTTTAATAGTTTTTTACATCCTTCATTAAGACTCCTAGAGGCTTTTGGCCATGGGAGAATAAGTTAATATGGATCATTAGCAGCTTGCTGCTGCTCCTTCGCCATTCATCCATCACACTTTTGTGCTTTTCCTGCCCCTTCTCTTCTGCGGGACTATCTTTTGCTTCTAGCTCAGCAGGCGAAGCTCCCTTCAGGAAGTGACACTGACATGATGGTGCACACATGGGCCAAGGACAGAGAGGAGAGGAGACATATCCCTGTCCCTTTCCCCCGAGAGGGGTGGAACCCAAAGGGCAGGGAGGGGTGAAGCTTTGGGCAGTGTTCCCTGTAAGATGAGAACTTGAGCAGCTGCCTAGGAGAGATTCAAATCCTGCCCCGCTGATTAGCTCACGCCCTCCCCCAGCTGGCAGCATGTGTTTCAATTGGTGGTGCACATCTGCACCTGCCTTTGTGCTCATACCAAAATTTATTCCACATGTGGATGAAAAAAAAATTAGAGGGAACATTAGTTGCCAGTCTGCTGCATTCTCCCTGCTCCCCCAGACTCCACCGGGCCCCTGCTTGCTCTGCCCAGTACAGCCTGATAGGAGAAGGAAGACATGTGGAATGGCTGCTTTCTACCCCTTCAGGTGCAGATGGACTCCAAAACACCAATCAGTCCAGGAGCTGGTGCTGGTCAGACAGCAAATTCTCCCTGTCTCTGAGTGTGTACACTCAGGAGTGGTGGATATTGTGGTCATTGTGGGTGTACCTGCTCACAGCAGCCCATGAGGATGTATGGTTTCATATCCAGATACATAAAGAGATCATGTGGTTCCGGGATTGTTATGAACATATTTTGATGGCCTGGCTATGTTTTGAGTACACCCACACACCCAAATACATGGAATCCTAGGGCTGGCAGAGACCTCAGGAGTCATCGAGTCCAACCCCCTGCCCAAAGCAGAACCAACCCCAACTAAATCATCCCAGCCAGGGCTTTGTCAATCCAGGACTTAAAAACCTCCAGGGATAGAGATTCTAGCACCTCCCCAGGGAACCCATTCCAGTGCTTCCCCACCCTCCTAGGGAAATAGTTTTTCCTAATATCCAACCTACACCTCCCCCATTGCAACTTGAGACCATTGTTCCTCATTCTGCCATCCGTCACTACTGAGAACAGCCTCTCTCCGTCCTCTTTGGAACCCCCCTTCAGGAAGTTGAAGGCTGTTCTCAAATCCCCCCTCACTCTTCTCTTCTGCAGACTAAATAAGCCCAAATCCCTCAGCTTCTTCTCATAGGTCACGGGCTCCAGCCCCCTCATCATTTTTGTTGCCTTCACTGGACTTTCTCCAATGCGTCCACATCCTTTTGATAGTGGGGATCCCAAATTGGACACAATACTCCAGATGTGGCCTCACCAGTGGCAAATAAAGGGGAATAATCACTTCTCTAGATCTGCTGGAACTGCTCCTCCTAATGCACCCTAATATGCCATTAGCCTTCTTGGCTACAAGGGCACTCTAGTGACTCATATCCATCTTCTCATTCACTGTAATCCCCACGTCCTTTTCTGCCAAATTGCTGCTTAGCCAATCAGTCCCCAGCCTGTAACAGTGCTTGGGATTCTTTCATCCCAAGTGCAGGACTCTACACTTGTCCTTGTTGAACCTCATCAGATTTCTACAGAGATTTTTAATATTACAATGTTAAAGAGAACCTAACTAATAACGATCATCACCCAAGTAATCATGTAGTGTCTTATAGTGATTATTTTGTGAATATTTGCAACAGTTATCTTAGTGGCATTACGTCCCTACTGCTGCTAGGTGCTAATCTCCAAAACAATTGTGGAATTATAACCACAGTTGCAAATATCATACGTAAGAAGTGCTGGAAAAACTCAACAGGATGTGTTATGCTTGGCTGTATTTAGCTATTTGTCATACAACCCGTTACCAAAGGGAACTTTTGAATTAGCAAGGATTTGGTGTAGAGCGTTACCCCCAAAATGGGCATCTGCTAAGATAATAAAAGAACAATTAGCCATTTTAAAGGAAGCCTCCAGTTGTGTGCTGGGCATGAAGGCTTATTCCAGCTAACCACTTGCTAGGATCTACTTTGAAAATGCCCTGGGTCAGAGTGTGCATCTCCTTCAGGTCCCGATCCTGCAAGATTTGAGAACCCCCTGCTCCACGGGAAGTCAAGAGACTTCCCTGCTACTAGCGTCCCTGGCCAAGAGCTGGCCAGTCAGGGTGTGCTGAGATCTGTTTGGAAGTGAGAGTCCAGCCTCCAGATCCAACCTTTCAGCAGCCCTGGCCTTTACCACTGTTACCAGATTTGCCCAATACTCTGGGGTATGCTCATTTATCAGGGTTACCCTTATGGGACTGGGGGAAGGTTAACAGTTCTATCAGTGTGCTGTTGGTGCTTACTTGGGCTCTCATATGGAGCTGAATTCTCCCTGCTGCCAATTCCCCCTCCCACTGGAGCTCTCCTGCAGGAACTAGGTTCCTCAGGATGGGGTTCTTCCCACCTTAGCAACACACACAGACACTCACACCCACTAATCAGAGCACGTCTGAGAGGACTGGGTACTCAGCACTCACAAGCTGACCCCCTCATATGTCCCTGGACTCAGCTGGCTGGGTTTCACAGCAATGCCACACTGCACCCTCATGTGCCTTTGGACTCCGTGGGCTGGATTAAACAGCACTTTAAGCTGCCATCCTCATAAGCCCCCAGGTTCAGCACCCCCTATCCCCACTTTCACACCACAGTCATTCACAGGTAAACCACACGATGAGCAAACCCCACAGGATTTTGGGCACTACAGGGATCTTTTGCTTGGGTACAAGAAGCGTTGTTGCAGAGCGAATGGGGAAGCCAAAACAACACCCCTTAAGGAAGAGTGAGCAAAAGAGAAAGAAAGAGAGAGAAGCAACCAGCTTAACAATGAAAGTGATTTATTTCTGAGTAGTGAATAGATATCAAACAGTTACAATATTAAATCTAACAATTACAATATTAAATCTAAATTGAAACTGATTACAATGTTAGGTAACCATATAACAGTTTACACAGGGCAGGGTCAGGAGGCTATGCTTAGAGAGATAGTTGAGAGAGAGAGAAAGAGAGAGAGAGAGAAAGAGAGAGACCTCACCACTCCACGGAGCTTGCACTGATCGGGGTTCCCAGATGATGATGGTAGCCGGGGGTCCAGAGGGCAGGAGAAAAGCAGGACAGAGCCCCCAGCATTTTATAGGGATAGTTCAAAGAGAAAGAGGAGAGACAATAGAGACTGATCACCCCTGGTTATGGGTGATGTTCCTTGAACGAGCTCACAATGCAACTTGGCAGTTTCAGTATTTTAGATGTCAATAGGATCGTTACTAGAATTGGTCTGATAATGACTAATTTGGGTGTGAGCAGGCTTAGGTTCATTAGCATCTGGAGCAGGGATTTCCCATCAGGCAGTGCTTCTCTGCTTTCGGTGTCCCATAGTTCAGTGCGGTTCCTGCCTTGGAAGAGCTGCTCTCCATTCTGTATGCTAATGAGATGTCCCTCTGTTCCATCTTTAATGTAAATGAGGTTGGGGTGTTTCCTTAATTGTATCACCCTTGTCTGAAGCAGTTTAGGTGGGTCTTCCCCGGCCTTTTCTTTGCTTTGTCTTTGATTCTAGCAGAGGCCTGAGGGAGGGGAAGGGTTTTCCATGAATGTCACTCCCTGACTCCCCAAGAGCACAAGGCTGACAGGCGACCATGTTCTGGTTCCCCAAGAATCACAGAGCTGGTGGGTAACAAATCACAGAGCTGGTGGGTAACACCACAGAGCCTTAGCTTTGCCAGGTGGGAAGAGAGGAGGGCAGGATAAGTGGGCGTGATGAGTTGAGAAGAGCAAAGGAACAGAAGTTACTTAAAAGTCATTAACTGATCTCCCTCGGCAGGAAATAACTGAACAACACAAAAGTCTAGTCATGCAAAATTCAGGGCATACCGGTAACTCTCCACTGACTTCGGAGATCAGGTGATGGCACGACTGGGCCCGAAGAAGGTGATATGGGGTTGCCCTGAGATCCAGAGGAAGTGTGCCAGCTGACACTGGGAGCAGGAGACTGTAGTGAATGTCCCTGTGCCTCTCCTTCTCCCTTCTGCAAATGCTGAACCTTTTCCCTGGGCAAGATAGGAAGGAACCAGAGTCCTGCCTGAGTGGAATATTAATGCTCACAGGCTACAGAAGCAGCAGCTGCCTGTCTTGGGGGGGGCTGCTTGTTGTTTGTTTGCAGTAATTTGGCCTGGTGTCAGGCAGCCTTTCCTAATCCCACCCCGTTTATTATCCCCTTCTCCTCCCCTCCAAACAGCACCGCTTCTGCCTCCCTATTGGCTCCTTCCCCTTTCAATCCAGCCAGCATTTCCTGGATGAGACATGGCTGCAGAGGGAGAGGAGAGAAAGACACCAGCAGCAGCCAGGACAGCCTCAGCCCCAGCCTGCGGCGCTGAGTCCCTTTGGGGCAGCTGGCACTCCAGCCTGGAGACTGTAGGGACGCTGCACAGTGGTAAATTCCCCTTTTCTTGGTACCTAGCCAGCATTGGGTCACAGCCTTTCATCTGTCCCAATTGCACTAAACAGGAACATGCTTCCTGCTTCAGCGTGGAGCAGAGCAAAACCTTAGAGAGCCTAGTTAACTCCCACCCCCTTTAGTTAGGGCAACTCTGTGCCCCCTTTTCCTTTCCAGCCCCGAGCTAGTGATCTGAGGCACTGCAATGCAATGCAATCGAAAATCAAGTCATCCAGGTGGCTGCTTTTCTCTGTGCTTTCAGGGTTTCAGTGCCTCTGGTCAGATTCTTGCTTGGCTACAGCTAAATTGTGGGGGGGGGGGGGGGTGTCTGTGTGTGGGGGTGCGTAGCCCCTTGCCCCAGCAGAAGCAGGTTTTTGAAGGGCTCTCTAGGTTATAAATATGTGTAGGAAGACTTAGCCAAGGTGGTGAGATAATATCTTTCAATTCAAACTGACGAGGAATCTCGGAGCTGTTACCAGAGCTGATTCCCTCAGAAATGGGGTGTGTGTGAGAGAGAGAGAGAGAGAGAGAGAGAGACTGGGTGAATATCTGTAATAGAAGAAATCCTGAGCCAAATGAAGCGGTGGTTCCTTTCCCTCATCTTTATGGAGAGGCCCAAACCCCTAACGCTCTTTCAAATGACGGCTCTGCTCAGGGCAGCAGGCGGAGGCCTCCTTGGTGGAGCGAGTGGCGTCTTTCCACTGAGAAGGGGTTAAATCCTGGAAAGCAAGCAGGCAGACCTCTGCAGCGACAGGTGAATTTCCACTAGTCTGTGGAGAAACAAAATGTCTTCAGTGGGGGGTGTGTGTGTGTGTGTGTGTGTGTGTGTGTGTGATCTTGATCTGGGACTGGGTTCAAAAATAATGTTTGACATAGCCGCATCTTGCTATTTAAGTCTATACCCCCTCCCCATCCCTGTGGCTGAATCGGCTTATAATAGCTCAGTAGTTCAGAAGGATTCTCCCACGGGTTTTTGGCTCCAAACTGTGACGTAGCTTTAGAACTGTAGGAGAAACTTTTTGTGTCATACAAGCTCCTAAAATAAATAAATGGACAAGTATGTCTGCTCAAACTCCATCTGCCCCTTCTTGTGGAGGAGAATCCCAGTACAGTGGTTTTGGGTACTTGTTTTCTTTTATTCATAAAGTGAATTTACTGCTGGTGAGAAGTACTGTATTAATAGCACTAGAAAATGATCTATTTATTCTGCCCTGGCAGTGTGCCTCAAGGACCATCTGTAGATCTAATCTGGTAGATCAGATTTACTCAGTCTCTCAGCTAATATGGGAGCTAGTTGAGGTGATTTTGGTGATATAGTCACAGTCCGAATAAAAAACTAGATTGAAACCCCACAAAATTCCCTTCATCTATGCTGGGCCACTGACGTGGGCTGAATTGGAACCAGCAACCAAGAGGGGGAAGGCTCGGACTTTCTCCTGGAGGAGTAAGGACTAGCAGTGAACCAATAAGCAATATTTTCAGAGTTGTGATGACATCAATAATACTGGCTGGTACCTAACTAAAAGTGTGATGATGAGCTATGATAATACATGAATATGTATTGATGTTACCAGTAAACTTGGTAACACAAGTTGTTAGCCAACTAATACAGTAAGACCATTAGAGGGGAGTAGAGAATATATTTTCAACTCTGAACTCTTTTTAATGTATAGAATATATATAGTTGTATGTAAGTGTTCCTATTGTCTATTTTTTTTATCAGGGTGTGACTGTTTAGCCCTCATTGAGAGGCTGGTGTTAGACTCATATGCTGAGAACTAATTTTCTGTTTTCTGTTGAAGAAATATCACAAATCATACTATAATGGAGGCCACCAGACAAACGAGAATTTCGCGACCGCACAAGATTAGTGAATCTTCCAAGGTTAGTGAATTGTGTATTGCTCGCTAACATGTTTCATTAAAATTATGATTACTTACTTTGAAAGAGAGGCCCCTCCTTTTTTAAGGGGGCGGTAAGAAAACTGTGATGAAATACAGGGTATTAAGTTCATAGGTATATTATGTAGTTAGCATGTAACAAATTGATTTTAAAGTGCAAACTTATTCCACTGACAAAAACTAAAAATTCTGTAGCAAACAGATAGGTATCTGTTCAGAGTGACTCATGATTTTTTTGAATGACACATACTGGCAACACACAATCCTTCTTTGTATCAAGAGGTTTTTTTCCTCCAGGTATTCAAAGGGGGTGTGTTTAGTTTTGCTACTGAATTGAAATTTAAGAGTTCTTAAAGAGACAAGTTAAATTTTAGACCCCAGATTTAGATTTTGTACAAAATAGAGGCCTTATTCCGCAAACACGTATACATGTGAAGTCTCTGTGAACACAGTGGGATTACTCACATGCTTAATGTTCACTTTCTGTGTAAAAGTAGTATTGGGGTCTGTTTCTATACCAATACACTGCAGCATTGACTTCACTTGGGTATACACTGTAGTCTGTACTACTCTCTCATCTGGCACCCTTGAAACCTGACCGATGCCAAACAGCCAGTCCTGCTAGGACTGGTGGCTGAAAACAAACTTAATGGAACCACAGGAAATTTGGCCATACCCAGAATAAGTGGACTTCTAGCTAACTAAAATCATGCTGGACTAATGATGTTGCTGGACCAGAGAGTGCAGGACTAGAGAGGTTCAACCTGTAGTAAATTCTGATGCAGAAATGGGGGCTAAATATTGTAAAACCTTATTGTAAATAATGATTTCATAATTATATTTAATCCTACTGAAAATGGGGAAGGGTTGCACTGCAATATTGCTTTGCAGTTTTTGCTGTCTGAATGTTGCAATCTGATTACTAAGAGCTCCTGCTAGTAGTAGGATGGAGCCAGTAAAGCTAAATTCGTCAGTTTCAATTTTTTTGTTGTCAAAGTTGAATGAAAAGCAAAGAGGAAATCATTAAGAGTCCAGAGTAACATGGATCTTCACATTTTTCTCAGCTATCTCAATGACAAGTGTTGAGAAACAGGTAAATTTAAGATACATGCCTTTCAATCTTGTTCTTTTACCACTGCACAGATCACGTGTAGCATTTAAAAACTAGCATGATAATCACTTTACAAATCTGTAATCTTAACAGTGTTGTCTTTTTTGCATATGCTGTTGTTGTCACCATTACACTTTAGAATGACTAGTTAATATTAAATCTGTATTAGGGTATGTCTACACAGCAAAGTTATTTCGAAATAACAGCCCTTATTTCGAAATAACTTTCGTAGCATCTATGCCCAGTGGCCTCAAAATGAGCCAGAAAGCCTCTGGCAGCCAGCCCTCCTCTGCTCCCCAGGTGCAGTCTGCCAGCTCCCAGGAGCCTTCCAGGGCCTGGAGAAGGTGGGTGCCTTCCTGGTCCAGGGTGGAGATAATGGACCTTGTTCAGGTTTGGGGGGGGGGGATGCCCCTAACGTCCATGATCTCCACACTAGACGGAGGAACACAACAGTCTATGGCAGGATAGCTGCCAGCCTAGCCACCAAAGGCCACATGCGAACCCAGGAGCAGGTTTGCATGACAATCAAGTTGGTCCGGCGAGACTCCCAACCCTGAGCTCTGAGCTTCCTCTTCCCCTTCTTCCCCTTGCTTCCCCCTTCCAGCTCCCCCCTCCCAGGTTTCCCCTTCCCTTCTCCCATCCTCTCTTCTCCCCTCTCCCCCCTCCTTTCCCCAGTCTCACCAGAGTTTCATTCCCTCTCCTCCCCCCTCAGTTTTGTTAAATAAAGAGAGTTTGTGTTCATGAAAATACATGTATTTTATTTGACTTCAGAATGGGGGGTTAGGGAGGAGTAAGTGGAAGGACCTGAGGGAGGAATGAGGCACAAGCCCCCAGTGGGGCAGACCAGGCATGATCTTAGTGCTCCTCAGGGTGGAAGCTCTCCCGCAGGGCCTCCTGGATGGCCTCCTGGATACAGAGGCCCCCTGATGGACCTCCTGGATGGCAGCCTGCAGAAAGTGCAGCCAGGCTTGCAGCAACGCATCCAGGAGAAGCACCAGAGTACCAGGAGCAGCTCTTGCTCCATGTTGCAGAGTGCTGTGGTGTCCCGAGTAAGGGCAACCAGAGCACGCAGAGACAAAATGCTTTGCTGTCCCTCATCAAGGTAGACAAGCAAGCAGGGAAACCTGAGAACCGGCTGTCCGGGAGGGGTCCTTTTAAGCACAGACCTCAGATAGCCTCAGGCAGCAGCCCCACACAGTAAGTCCCTGTCCTGGTGCCCTGCTGGAACTGGTTCCGGCCAGCCTTAAATGCGATTCAGAGTCCACTCGGTGTGGACGTGCTATTTCGAAATAGCAAAATGCTATTTCGAAATGCATTTTGTGTGTAGACGTGTTATTTCGAAATAGCTTATTTCAAAATAACTATTTCAAAATAAAATAACACTGTAGTGTAGACATACCCTTACAGAATAAAAGTCTTTCCATACTATTTTTAATGTCAAAGTTGTGTTGGTCTTGACTTTTGCAGCTATCATTTTTTCTCAATATTCTAAGAGTGAATAGATGACGCGGTAAGTGGATAAAGTCATTACTGCATAGTCCTATGTATGTGCTCAATTTATGCTTACTGTTCAAAGTGGCAGCACTTCTTGAAAGAGAGAAAAGTCAGGGAATAGTTGTCATAAGTGGCATGCAGGATTACACTGCTGACTCTGGCACGTTTAATAAATAGGAGCCTTGGTAACTTGTAAATTCTGTTGTAATCTTGTTATGCAAGATGATGGTATTAAAGAATACTGGAGAGAGATGATAATCCTGTTATAAAGGGAATAGAACATATATTATTTTTAGTTTAATCCAATATTTATATGTCCAAGGACTTCAGAATAGGGTCACAGATGTCTTACAGAACCAGCCCAAAATTACCGGTTTACTTTTTGGAGACTCCATGTAGCACATTCGTGTCTTTGCAGGCTCTTTTATTTATTTGACTGCTTTTGAAAGCTGCTTTAACAAAGAGAAAAGCATCTTAAAGTTTTTAATACATTCTGTTTGTCATTGGGGGTTCACCTTGGCGTCTGCTGACAGCATTTGAACATTTTCGGTGATTAATGAGACCCTTTCAATGCTATTTTTATTGTTTATTTCTGGTAATATAGTAGTATCTGGAGATACTGAGATCTGGGCCTCATGATGCTGGGTTTTGTGCAAACACTTAGTCCCTGTCCTGGGGAACTTAAATTCTAAGACATTGTCTACATGGGGAACAATTTTAATAATTTAAGGTGCAAATTTAAACCAATGTGGTTATACTAATGTAATCTTCCCCCATTCCTTGTGTGAATGCTCTTATTCCAGCAGAACAATGTATTTGGCAGTGATGCATATTTCGAATGTTAAAAAACGGGTACAGTGAAAGCTTTGTTATCCGGCACTCTCATTGCCCCCAGCCATAATACTGTCACATCTTCAAGCGCACATGCCTGGCTTGGTTTACCATGATTGGCTTAACAATTTTTTATTTAAGAAGTACTAACCATCTTTAGCTCAAAATAGAAATGTGAGACCAACTGCCTCACACTACAAAACTACCAATATTAAAAACTTGAGTTTTACTATTATTGTCCATTGGTTTTTCCTAGGTTGATGGAACCCTCAGATAACCAGAATTTTTAGATAACCATAACTCCCTAATCCCCGAGCGTGCTGGATAACACAGGTTTTACTGTAATTGCATAATCGTGTAATTTCTGAAAAACTGCCCAAGGTTCGGTGTGCACTGGAAGCTGGCTTTTAAGCTGGCTCCTAGTGCACATTGGCTCCTGCCTGCAGCCCCACTCTGGGGGAGCTGGCTGCCCCCACTGTACTACTGCCTCTGATATAGAGGCAGCAGCCGGAGGTGGCAGCCGGCTCTTCAGGAGCAGGGTGGGAGCCTTCATGTAACCGTGAACATTAACCAATAAGCCCAGGCTTATCAATTAACCATTTCCATGGTTGTATGTTCACGTTCCTAATGTGTATTTTTTTTTATGTTGCTTAAGAACGGGTTTAAGATAAACCTAAAAAAGCCCCTCTTCCTCCAGAAAGTGTATGCTCACTTGGGGAGTTATAGCTGTACACTTAATGGTATAACTGGTAACACTTCACCAATTTAAGGGTGCTTATCTGAATTTTCTCTAGTCCCTTGCAGCTCTGTTCCAGCACCAATATGGTGCCACAGTGGAAGTAGCGGCATTGCCATAGGGCAGAATCCCACCTGTAGACGTTTTCACAACCATAATGTAACCTTCTCTACATCTATAATTATTAATACTGATCTAGCATATAACAGACCATGTGCCACATTCTAGACTTCAGACCAAGAAGCAATGGGCTTAAGCTGCAGCAAGGGAGGTTTAGGTTGGACATTAGGAAAAAGTTCCTAACTGTCAGGGTGGTCAGACACTGGAATAAATTGTCCAGGGAGGTTGTGGAATCCCCATCTCTGGAGATATTTAAGAGTAGGTTAGATAAATGTCTATGAGAGATGGTCTAGACAGTAGTTGGTCCTGCTATGAGGGCAGGGGACTGGACTCAATGACCTCTCAAGGTCCCTTCCAGTCCTAGTATTCTATGATTCTATATAAGGAAAGAAAACAAATTGGCATCTAAATTGAAAAATGGAGTAGTCAGCCCTGGCATAAACCAAAGTGCTTGTAGTACAAAGCATCTTGTCATGACTTGCAAGGAACTACATAACTCCACCTTATCCTGCTCTATGTTTCTCCCATCATTTCCTCCAATTTGGTCAACGCTATGTCTGAACCTCCGTTTTTAATGAAACATTTACAGAGAGGATGTTGTGAAGACCAGGAGTTTAACAGGGTTCAAAAAAGAACTAGATAATTCATGGACATTAGGTCCATCAATACTTATTAGCCAGAATGAGTAGAAATGGTGTCCCTAGCCTCTGTTTGTCAGATGCTGGAAATGGATGTGAGGAGAGGGATCACTTGATAATTACCTGTTTCTGTTCACGCTCTCTGAGGCATTGTTGTCAGACAGGATACTGGGCTAGATGGACCTTTGGTCTGACCAGTATGTCCGTTCTTATGTCCTTACGTTCAATATATCTTTTTTGAACTAGGATGGCCAGACCTGCATGCAGTATTCAAGGTGTACCATGGATTTATATAGTGAAATTCTTTATTTCAGGTGTACAAATGGGCTGACCACTCCAGTCTAGTCCTTCAGAGTCTGAATGAGCAGAGACACCAGGGACTTTTCTGCGATATTATTCTTGTGGTGGACGAACAGAGAGTCCCTGCTCACCGGAATCTCCTGGCTGTTTGCAGTGACTACTTCAAATCCATGTTCACCATCGGAATGCGAGAGGCCTACCAAAAAGAGGTTGAACTCTTTGGAGCCTCTTACATTGGTCTCAAAGCTGTGGTGGATTTCCTGTATGGCAGTGAACTCTCCTTAGATGGTGGCAACATTGATTACGTGTTGGAAACCGCTCACCTGCTGCAGATCTGGAAAGTGGTTGACTTCTGTTGTGAGTATCTTGAAAATGAGGTCAGCGAGGAGAACTACCTGTACCTTCAGGAGCTGGCCTCTATTTACAACCTGAAGCGCCTGGACTCCTACATCGACTCTTTCATCCTGCAGAATTTTGGCACGCTCTCTTTCACGCCGAACTTCCTCCAGAACATTTCCATCCAAAAACTCTGCCAGTACTTGTGGTTGACTTCTGTTGTGAGTATCTTGAAAATGAGGTCAGCGAGGAGAACTACCTGTACCTTCAGGAGCTGGCCTCTATTTACAACCTGAAGCGCCTGGACTCCTACATCGACTCTTTCATCCTGCAGAATTTTGGCACGCTCTCTTTCACGCCGAACTTCCTCCAGAACATTTCCATCCAAAAACTCTGCCAGTACTTGGGGAACTTACTGCAGGCTGCCTTGCAGTGGCTGACGCAGTACCCAGAAAGGGAAACTGAGGCTTACCAGGTACTGGATAACATTCACTTTCCCTTGATACCGAAGAGCGACCTCCTCCACCGCGTCAAGCCTGCGGTGTGCTCTCTTCTCCCAAAGGAAGCAAACTGTGAGGGGTTTATAGAAGAAGCGGTGAACTATCATAACAACATCACAGCCCAGCCGATACTCCAGAACAAGCGGACAGCACTGCGCACAAACGAAGAGAGACTCCTCTTTGTGGGTGGGGAGGTTTCGGAACGGTGCCTGGAGCTAAGTGATGATACCTGCTTCCTGGACACCAAAAAGGGACAGTGGGTAACAGAAACACCGCTCCCGGCCAGGCGAAGCCACCACTGTGTCGCAGTGCTAGGAGGTTTCATCTTCATAGCTGGCGGCAGCTTTTCAAGAGACAATGGAGGGGATGCAGCATCGAATCTTCTATATAGGTATGATCCCCGCTGTAACCAGTGGATAAAGGTGAGATTCGAGCTGTATTGCATCTTTTTTTTTTTTCCTTTTAAACTCCTTAATATTTGTTTTTATCCTTGGTGGTGGAAGGAGAACACACATGGTGGGTACTAAAATATACCCTTATATTTTTGCAAACATAAAACACGCCTTGAAATAGGAACAACTCATTGGAGAACTTTTGTGAACATTGTCCTTACACCAGTAGTGAAAGATTATGACTGTTCAAAAATGGATAGTGACAAGGAGCCAGATTTTCAATGCCCCGCTGGGGTGTAAGCTCCCTAATCTGCTTAGATACTTTTGAAAATTGCATTGGGCGCCCACCTATGAAAATCTGGCCAAAGGGCTGTCCTGTGCAACCCATACGGGATGAGAGTGATTGAAGATGGAAAACGTACATTGAATCAAGTCTTTCCCCTTCTGTGTCTGAATGTAGAACCCCCACCCTCCCGATATTAAACTGATACAGCCTTTTGGACTGATCTTCCATTCAGAACCCCCTGGGATTCAACAGTTGAGTCTGTTGCAGTAACTCTGGGCACAGGAGATATTGCATGATGACCCACGTATCATTAAGGAATAGAGTGGTTTGTGTCTTAGGCTATGTCTAGGCTGCATTGCTCTTTCAGGATATTGCAGGTATCCCAAAAAAGCAACCCCCCATCCAAGGAACGCGTCCGGTTTTTCAAATTTTTTTTTGAAAGAACGGACATGCTTTTTTTGCCATCCCTGTAAACCTCGTTCTATGAGGAATAAGGGATAGCTTGAAAGAGCACTTTCTTTTGCAATTTGGCACTGTGTAGACGTGCCAAATTTCGAAAGAGCCTCTTCTGAAAGTAAATCAAAAAAAGATACGCAATTTGCAGTATGCAAATTGCATATCTTTTTCCGATTTGAAAGTGCAGTCTACACGTAGTCTCAGGCTGTACCTGCATTTGGAGTCAGGGTTGCGATTCCTAGCTTGCATAGATACTTGTGCTAGCTCTTGTTGAGATAAAAAGAATACTGTAAGCACAATAGCACGGGAAGCTACTCCAAGTGATATCGATAGGGTGCAGGCAGGTTTCTACCGCAGGAAGCTAAGGGTACCACAGCTATGCTACTATTTTTAGCGTGCGAGCTCAAGGAGACCTAGCACAAGAACGCAAGCTGAGAATCACATCCCGAACTCCAACTGTAGATAGAGCTTTAGATGCTTTCCATTTCCCCTCTGACCTTTATCCTCAATGCCAACAGACCATATGCTGCAGAAGAGCAAAGTTCTATTGCTGTACTAATACATACATGGCAAACACAAATACAGGTTGGACCTGACCGGTCCTGATTGAAGGGATTTGTCAGGTCAGGGGAGGTCTCTCCCCTCGTGACCTGTGCTGAATGCTGCCCCCAAGCTAGGGCTCCAGCCCGGCCCTACTGCTGCCTAGCCGGCTGTGCCCTCTGCCTCCCTCCTTCCCCCCCTCCCAGGACCAGAGGTCTCTAGCTTCTGCTGGCCCCATTGCTGCTGGGGCCAGAGCTCCCTGGCCACCGCCGGGGCTGGAACTCCATGCCTGGAGCTGGCTTCCTGCTAGTGCCCAGCTGCTGGGGCCAGAATTCCCTGCTGCACTGTGCTCTCCCCTCCTCCCCCAACACAGGGCTCCCAGCTGAGTCGCCAGTGTCCTCACCGCACTCTGGTCACGCAGCCAGACCTCCCTATACCTGGGATTTGTGGTCCAGGGACATCTGGTTCTGCTGGGCCAGAGAGTCCCAGTGAAGGAAGGCACAATCTGTAGTAGTTCTTGTTAAAACTCACAGGAGGAAACAAATCTTTACTCTTTAAATCAACTCACCGATTGTTTGCGGCCGGCGGTGTTTTATTTGTATTTATGTATTTCGCAGGTTGCCTCCATGAGACAACGCCGAGTAGATTTCTACCTTGCAGCCATTACAGATATGCTGGTAGCTGTTGGTGGAAGGAATGAAAATGGGGCTCTTTCTTCAGCTGAGACATATAGCCCTCAAAAAGACTCATGGTCTTACATAGCAGGCTTGCCAAGGTAACAGTGGTCTGTTTAGAAAACCATGTTTTCCTTAAAGAAAAGAACCCTCTGAGTCCTCTGTGGACAGGCCTCTCTATGTGAGTATCCTGGGAGGGAAAGGAATGATCTGAGCCGTCTTCTCAAGGCAATGAATTTGTGACTGGCTGTGTCCGGGCAGGGAAATGGGCCTTCTCGTTTCACGTTCTGTGTTTGTCACCTGGCTTTCCCGAGGTTGGTCTCTGTGGAATCCCTTCAGATTGTTTAGATCTCAGAGCAAGGCTTTCTTTGGGTGGATTATAGGTCCTCGATGTACTGGGAGCATTTGGCCATCTGCTCTTCCTTGCAGGTATGTTTTGGGGATGTTAGATATCGAGTAATTGAATAATCGTGAAACTGCATCAAAACTTGGCGGTGACACAACTATTCAATGGTCCCTGGGGGCGGGGCCGGCAGCCAGTGCACTCCCGGTGACACTCCCGAGGAGCTCCCTGCCAGCTTGCGCTGCTGCCTCTGTATCAGAGGCAAACAGGGCGGGGCTCTGCCCCCCCTGTCCACAGGGGTCCAGAGCTCCTGGTGACAGGAGCTCTGCCAGCATCCCACGGAGCAGCCTCCCCCGCTCCCTACCCCTGCGCTGCTGCCCTCTATTAGCAGCATGGAGGGTGGGGGAGTGTGGAAACCAGCTCCCCCCCCCCCTTGGCTGCCTCTGATATAAAGGTGTGTAGTCGATAAGATTAACCAATAAGGCGAGGCTTATCGGTTAATTGGGTAGACAACTACACAGTGACACCCCTAGCATGTTTATGCTGCCTGCTTGCACACGTCAGTACAAAGAGATCCAGGCATACAGAATGGGAAGTGACTATCTAGGAAGGAGTACAGCAGAAAGGGATCTCGGGGCCATAGTGGACCACAAGCTAAATATGAGTCAACAGTGTAATGCTGTTGCAAAAAAAGCAAACATGATTCTGGGATGTATTAACAGGAGTGTTACGAGCAAGACACGAGAAGTCATTCTTCTGCTCTACTCTGCGCTGGTTAGGCCTCAGTTGGAGTATTGTGTCCAGTTCTGGGCACCGCATTTCAAGAAAGATGTGGAGAAATTGGAGAAGGTCCAGAGAAGAGCAACAAGAATGATTAAAGATCTAGAGAACCTGTGAAGGAAGACTGAAAGAATTGGGCTTGTTTAGTTTGGAAAGGAGAAGACTGAGAGGGGACATGATAACAGTGTTCAAGTATCTAAAAGGGTGTTACAAGGAGGAGGGAGAAAATTTGTCCTCCTGGGCCTCTGAGGATAGGACAAGAAGCAATGGGCTTAAACTGCAGCAAGGGAGGTTTAGGTTGGACACCTTAACTGTCAGGGTGATTAAACGCTGTAATAAGATGCCTAAGGAGGTCATGGAATATCCATCTCTGGAGAGATTTAAAAGCAGGTTAGATAGACATAAGAACGGCCATACTAGGTCCATCTAGCCCAGAGTCTAGGGACACCATTCCTACCATTCCTACTTCTATCTGGGATGGTCTAGAGGACAGTACTGCCATGAGTGCAGGGGACTGGACTCGATGAACTCTCGAGGTCCCTTCCAGATCTAGTGTTCTACGATTCTGTGTTTCTATGTTGTATCACATGTCTGTGGCCAAAGTTAAATCTTAGTTGTTCCAGCATTGAGGCTGCTTTATTTGTACTGTGTGCACAATTAGCACTCACTTTTACTTACTTCCCAAATTGATACCTAGCACTTCATGGCGAAGACTTTTGGAAGGTGGTAGTGATACCTTTGCCACTGGTACAGCAGCATTTGATATGGGGTTGCAAACGCCTGTTCAGATGTTGTCGGGATATCGCACAAGTCTTCGAGGTTTGCACAGGTAGCAGCTGCTCAGATTGTGTTACTGGGGTGCATAGCATCAGTGATGAAGCTTGCTTGGCTGTTGCCACATGGTCTCTCCAGTAGAATGCTTCAAAATCTACCATGCCTAGAGTTTGTAGTGTGTTGCTTATTCTCTGATGCTAACACTTCAGTTGCCAACTGCTAAACTTTAGAGTTGTAGGTGGCTAGTGTGGGCCCAGATGTCTAGAGGACTCCTTTTTCCATTTCTGTGTTGGACAGCTGAGTAGGTAGCTGAGTATAACCTTGTAGGTAGCTGAGTATAACCTTGATCAACAACAGGGCTCCATGTTCCTGCGATGCAAGAGGCAGATGCTCTTTTGCATGTGTAGACCGCTCAGGGTATGTCTACCGCTCAGGGTATGTATACCCTCAGGCAGTTGTGATTAAATATCATCAAATCCCCCAGCCTCCTGGGTAGCAAGGAGAGTTCTGCAGAAATGAGAGTTAACAGGGGGGCTGAAAGACTTTGCTGCGCTCTGAGCAAGGTGAAGAAACCAGCTCTAGGCCTCCAGATGGGGCGGGGCTGGGGGCTAGGCCACCCCCAGCCAGCTCTTCAGCAATGCCTGAGGCTGCAGCCGCTGCTGTCGCCACTGTAGCAACAACAGCAGACAGGAATCCTGGGCCCATGGACATCCAGTGTGTAAGGCAGGGGAAGGCTCTGCCTTTCCAAACCGCTAGCCTGGCCCTGCCTACACTCTACCCCCAGGAGTTTCTACAAAGGTCTCTTCACCCCCTTGCCATATTTTAAGTCCCTGAGCTAAAGTATGGTGGCGCTCACACTTTTGAAAGAAAAGGTGGCTTTAATTCTTGTCACGAGCAAAACAAAACTTCAGCCCGGTGCTTGAAAATGGCCGAGCTGTTTGGGTTGATTCTTTTAAATTCCATCTGAGGCAGACACATGGCCTGGAAATTTTCAGCCTAAGTGATCGAAAGTTTGGCAAAATTATATGCCACTGAAAACGGGATCTTATAATGGGAAGTGTCAAGGCACCTTCATAATGTCAGGAATATTTTTGAGCAGTGAGCCCTTGCTATAGGCTTGGAGTTGTGGGCCCACAGCCTGTCAGGCAACTCAGAGAAAAGTGTGCTGCTCATCAGGTTGGTTTTGTTTTACAGTCGTAGGCAGCTAGTTTAGGCTCAGCTCCTTTTTCCATTTCTGTGTTGGACTCATGTAGGTAGCTGAGTATAATCTTGATCAACAACAAGGCTCCATGTTCCTGAGATGCAAGAGGCAGATGCTCTTTTGCATGTGTAGACTGGTCGGGCAGTTGTCTTCTAGCAGTCGCCGGATGGTTCCACTGCAGCAGAAGCTGTCATGTATACTCCACTGCAGCAGGAGAAGGTTCTCCAAAACTGGCACCATGCCTCTAATTGATATTGCGGGTTGAAACCTTTTCCTTCTCAACACCTTTGCTCAGCAGGTCTGGCTGCATTCCCTTAGATATCTATGGCAGAACGCTTGGTGCCTTCAGCGAGAGCACGCCTGGGCCTGCTGTGGTAAGCCTACCACAGTCATGTTGTACCCCCCGTCCTTTTTCAAAGGCTTACACAGAGGTGATGGCACAGAATTCAAGGTGACAAAAGCTAAGGGTGTGCACAGTGGTTGGAGCTGTGATTTGGAAGTCTGCTTGGTGTGTGTGGCCCAAGCACGTTTAAGCTGAAGTATGACAAGGCTGTTTTGGGGAGATCGTCTGCTGAAAAGCAATGAAGTGATAGGCAGCTTGATGCTTCCCAGGAATACGCCTACAGAGCTGCAGTAGAACTCACGCTATTGGGTAAAATTGTTCAGCAGTTAGAAGGCAAAGAGGAGGAAAAAAAAACCCTCTGTGCTTTTGCTGTGTCTGTGTCTATGCTAGATTTTCCAGGTGTGTTTGAGGAGGGATGTCAAATGCAGTTCCTTGCTCTGCCATTACTGAACTCTGCTGTCCTGTTGGTATGGATAAGTCAGCTGAGTTCACTCAGGGTCAGTAGAATTGTCTATAAAAACAAAAAACTGGGTGGAGTATGATTTCCTACAATGGGTGCTTATCATTGTTGATCCTGTGCACATCAGCAGTACAACAGAATGCAGCACAGAGTATTGGGGAAGTTCATTTGGCTCCTGTTTTTAAAGCCACTGTGTATCCCCAGCTCCCATTGTACTGAGAGGGGGCAATGGATGTTCAGTACTGTCTGTAAACTCGGTCTGTTTTGGGTGGGGAGGACATGCTGAAAGGTCCAAGCACAGCTTGTGGCTCAAAACATCGGAGTTTGGATCTTCCTGTGGAATGTCTGTCAGTTTGTTCTCACTTCGTGTAGAGAATTTAAGCCTCTTCTGAGGGCAGGTCTACACTACAAGGACAGAGCGATCTAAGCCACACAATTTGAGTGACGTTAGTAGGGTAACTCAAATCAATGCAACTTAGATTTACTTACCATGGGGTCCACCCTGCAGGTGAAAGGGGGTTTGACCGAAAATCCTCTGCTGTCAACTCCTCTTACTCATCTCATTCTGCTGAAGTACCAGAGTTGACAGGAGAGTGATCCAGGGTTGATTTAGTGGGTCTTTACTAGACTTTCTAAATCAACCACCGGCATGGTAGCTGCAGCGTTGATCCTCCCCAGAGTGAAGACAAGCCCTGAGAGTCTGACAGCTTGGTCCTATGCAACAAAGTCTTGGATGGATGGTGCTGCTACTGAAACAAAGCTCCACCCATGTTGCAGTGTTTCACCAAGTGAGATGAGACCATGCTTAGGGATGTAAGAGACTAGTTGACTAGTGATGCAACTAGTCACTTTCTCCCCCCTTGTCACCTCTATCAGAGAAAGGCAGAAAGTGGGAGGGGAGCAAGAGCTGGTGCTGGGGGGAGGGGGAGACTGCTTAAAAAACAGTTCCCCCCCAGCCCCATCTCTGTGGAGCAGGGGAGGTAGAGGCACAGCAGAAACAGCGCGAGTGGGGACTGAAGCGGACTCTGCTTGCTCTGCATCTGCTGCAATTCTGCTTTTGAAATATACAACGTGCTTGTACGGTTCAAAAGCAGAAGCCCCTCAGGGAAATCCCATCAACTATTTGATTAGTTAGTTAATCTAAATTTAACCCCCCCAACCATGCATGTCCTTGTGTTCCATCTCAAGGACCCTCCTGTATCCTAGAGTTGGAGCTTGCTTATGTGTCTCAGTAACAAGCCTTCCAAACAAGAGTATTCTGAAGGAGTGCCGGGTCATGGGCTTGTGCATGGAGCTGGATTAACAAGTACAGATCTTTTATCGTGATAGAAATGTAGCCGTGTTAGTCTGGTGTAGCTGAAGCAAAATACAGGACTGCGTAGCACTTTAAAGACTAACAAGATGGTTTATTAGATGATGAGCTTTCGTAGGCCAGATCCACTTCCTCAGATCAGATAGTGGAAGAAAATAACTATTGTAACTATTTTCTTCCATTATTTGATCTGAGGAAGTGGGTCTGGCCCACGAAAGCTCATCATCTAATAAACCATCTTGTTAGTCTTTAAAGTGCTACATAGTCCTGTATTTTGCTTCAGATCTTTTATCTTCTCTCAAAACGATAATTTACGATAAACCTGGGTTTTCTTTGCTCTTTGCACTATCTAGATGTGGAAGAAACTACGGCAGTAGGGTGCAAAGAGTTGGCAGTCTGGAGTTGAGAGAGAATCTTGCTCTGTGAAATAAAAACAAGTCTTAGATTCTGTCCACATTGAGTCATGAGCATGTTGAAGCATGGTTTAAAATTATTTCACGCTAAACTGATTTTAATATTGATTCAGCTGCCATTGCTAATGCTGTTAAAACCATTTCAGTGTGAAGCCAAAAAAACTACTTTAGGAATCATGGGTTCTGATCGCTGTATTGCAAGAGCAGATGGAGTTGGAAGGGTACAAGTCACCCTGTAGGAAGTAGCATGCGCGTCTGGTTTTATACCGAGTTTGCCAACTATCCATGTCTTTGTTACAGAAATATATGTTAGACTCCAATGGAGGGGTGCAGAGAGCTAATCATAGAATCCCCCACCAGTTCCTTTATGGCAATCGCAGATTTCCAATAGGAGGGAAGTGTTTTTAACTATAATCTATTTCTGCTGTAACAGAACAATCTAGAAATGTTGAATTCTTGTATGATACGAATGGGGGGAAATGTAACTGTCTAAGAATTAGCTGCTTCTGAACTAGATGTATGCGGGGTTTGTTTTGTCATTTTAGAGGATGGTGAGGGCATGTCTACAGTAGGAAAATAACAGAAATCAATTTAATAATTCCCGAAATAATATAATTGAAATAGCGTGTCCACAATACGGAGAAGCCTCGAAATTAGTCCAAGGCAGGTTCCGTTAATGTGAACGTGCTACCTCAATTTAGAGCACCAGGAAACACTGAGAAGTAATTAGCCCAAATTACTCTGGGAAGTAGTTATTTTGAAATAGCAGCACTGGAGCATCCACACTAACGGTATTTCGAAATAACTCCCATTCCCAGAATTTAGGAAAACATTAGTTTAGATTTGCCAGAGACATATTCAAGTTTAAATAATCCAGTGGGAGTGGGAGGGGGGGATGTTCTACATTCATCATTTGCAAAGCAGAATCAATGTTCTGGGATACTCTGTAAATCTAAATATGGAATATGACCAGAAAATCCAGGACTGTTTAGAATAAAACTTAAGGCGGCAGAGCAAGTTTAGTTTCTTCTGTTTTATTTTTTGCTATCAAAATTGCTGGATGGCTATGAATATGCAAAAAGTAGTTAGCATTATAATATCCAACAGCAAACCAAACTCAGAAAATTCACTCAGTAGCTATACTATCAGAATAATGTTCCACGACAGGAGCTCCGAAAAGAATTCTGTGGCTGTGCCCTAGTTTACTTTATTGCAGTGTTTCTTAAACTGTGTTCCGTGGCATTCTGGTGTGCCGTGGAGAACACAGTTCAAAATGGCCGCCCTTAAAGGGGCAGGTGACTTTTTTTCCCCCTCAATAACTTTCCCTCCGCTTCCCCTCCTTTTTTTTTTTTTTTGTTTCTCAACAAAAAAATCCTTGGTGTTCCTCATTTAAAAAAAAAAAATTGTTTGGTGTTCCTCGGTCTTAAAAAGTTTAAGAAACACTGCTTTATTGTAAGTTTACAAAACAAAAGTTTTGCAACCAAATAGCAGATGAAATTAAAAATGTCACGGAAGATAGATTAAAGTATCAGATTATTAGAATTCTCTCACTCGGCCCTGGTCTATACTAGGGAGTTATTTCGAAATAACCCCCTTTAGGCTGAATTTATAAGGGGAAAATCCACACTACCAAGCTGGTTATTTTGAAATCTGTTCTCTTCTTTTCTCTTTTTTCCTACGTGCTTTCCTTGGGATTGTGATAGACCCAAACATGTTATGTACTTACTTATTAATAATACTAGCAAGAGCAGTGCTGCTTTTGCTGCTCTCTAAAGCCTTTTTCATGCTGCCAAGAAAGTTGAATACACATTGTTCTTTAGTGCATCCCTGTTGAATAACTATATTATAACTTAGTTCAATTTGAAATATCATTTTAAAATGTAACAGATATTCAATAACTCACCACTTCAGTGTATGGACTGCATGTATAAGTACCAATCACGGTTAAATATTTGCACTTGTCTGCAAAAACAATAAATTGTTGTTGTTGGCCTATCCTAGGTTTACCTACGGGCATGCTGGCACTGTCTACAAGGAATTTGTTTATATCTCTGGGGGCCATGATTACCAGATTGGTCCCTATAGAAAAAATCTCCTCTGCTATGATTACCGCACAGATGTCTGGGAGGAAAAGAGGCCGATGATCACTGCTCGGGGGTGGCACAGCATGTGTACCTTAGAAGACAATATCTACTCCATTGGCGGCAGTGATGACAACATAGAAACGATGGCACGCTTTGACATTCTGAGCGTGGAGTCTTACAGCCCTCAGTGTAACCAGTGGACCCGAGTCTCTTCCCTGCTGCAAGCCAACAGCGAGTCTGGAGTGGCAGTCTGGGAAGGCAAGATTTATATTCTTGGGGGCTATAGCTGGGAAGACACCATCTTCTCCAAAACTGTCCAGGTGTACGACAAGGAGAAAAACAAGTGGTATAGAGGAACTGACCTCCCCAAAGCAATCGCGGGCGTGTCTGCGTGCGTCTGTGCGTTGAAACCCCAAAAGGAGGACAAAAAGAAAAAGACAAAAATGAAGAAGCACCAGGATCGAGGCAGATGACGCAGCTTGGATAACCCACAATTGTGGCCGGAATCCAAAGGAAGCTTGTAGCTAATCATCTCTTTCTAATCTTTTTATTTTTTACGGGAAAAAAGATACCAGTTTCTGAAACCTTCAAGAACATGTGGTTGAACATCTTCGGGTGAGGGTCTTGTGATGGTAACTACTACTGCAGAATGGGGGTGAGGTTGCAAAGGGTGCTGTGCTATCCATCGGGTACATTTAAGACGCAGTCTGTTACTTCTGTGGTTCTTGGCTCTCACACCCTTGTAATAAAGGTACACATTTTCAAAACACTGAAAAATTGGACTTAGAAAATGAAATAACGGGGAAGGAAAATTGGACCAAACATCGGTTTGAAGTTGCAAAGAGAGCTCGAGAAGCAGTTGCAATTGAAAACTGATATGGATCTTGTTGTAAATCCTGATTTTTTTTTTTCATTAAATGTACTTTACAGTGCAATCTAGAGTGGTGAGTATCCGATTTCTGGTATGCATGAGAAACCATTTAAAGGACACGTGTTCAAGGCATCTTGGTATGCAAATGACACTTTTGTACTCTTACGTTTCAGAGGATATTATTAAGTGACCAAAGTGCGATGTGCTCTGGTCCAGGCATGTAACGGATCTGGGCTCAGCTTGTAAGCTCCACTGCTCTTTCCACGGTGCAATGGTCTACAACAAGGGTGAGCAATAAGCAGCCCAAAAGCTGGATGCGGTGTGCCAGGGATAGCCCCTGGCAGCCTGCCAGACATTTATTTACCACAGGTAAAGCTGCTTACAGCTCCCATTAGCCAGGAATGGCGAACCACAGCCAACGTGAGCTGCAGATGGTCAGAACTGCAGATGCACAGGTAAATGAAACATCTGGCAGGCCACCTGAGACTAACCTGGTGAACCACGTCCAGTCCATGAGCTGCTTATTGCCCACCCCTGGTCTACAAAATCCAGGAAAAGTGATGTAACCTTGACATCCCTTGTTAATGACTAGAACTGTGCAAAACTTTCATAACAAAATCCAACACCACGTTTGGTTTGGTTGACGTCTCCTAGTTCAGGACCAGGTTTTGTTCCTTCCTTTGAACCTGGTGAGACACGTAGACTTCACTGTGAGGTAGGTCGGGGGAAGGGTAGATGTTTGAAATCAAAAGCTCGAAATGAACATAAGGCAAAGAGCAAACCATCCATGGGATGGGGGAGAGTGTGTGTGTGGGGGGGGGGGGGAGTTTGCAGGAGCTAGGAATGGCTGAATTTAGCATGGTTCTAGCAATGATGACATTTCCCAGCCAATGCAAGGATCCCAAAAAACACTCCTTGGTCAGTATATGCATCTGACGAAGTGGGTCTTTGCCCACGAAAGCTTATGCTCCTACACTTCAGTTAGTCTATAAGGTGCCACAGGACTCCTCACTGCTTTTGCAGATTCAGACTAACACGGCTACCCCTCTGATCCTTGGTCAGGTGGCTGCAAAACTGTTGTGCTTGCAAGGATGGACTTGATATAGGGGAAAGATGTGGATTTTTGGGATGCCATTTGGGGCTTGGATGACTGAACTGGAAGGAGAATCATATATTGGAGTAGTATCAAAGAAGTCTGATTTATGCCCTGCACACGAAATAAATTTTGATTGTAGACCCTGCCCGTGCATGTTAACAATTCCCAGTGCCCTTTCACAGAAAACTGTTTAAAACAGCACTGGGTTAAAGTGCATCAACAGGAGTAACACAGACTAATTAATGCACAATATGTTCTCGTGCTTTAGAAATCACACCCCTGTAGAGTGTATTACCCCACCATGCGCAATCCTTCTGTCGTTGCATCCTTCACAGGCAGGGTTGTGTCTACGGCAAGGATTTAAATTCACCAAATGTCTGGCTAGCCTTCCAACATTCACCCCGGAGCAGTTTACAAATGGATCTTTTGTTTGATTTGCAAGAGGTTAAGAACCAGCAAACTCCGACTGTCCCTGCAATTTTTATAGCAGCAATTAATAATAATTCCAGGCCATAGATTTCTATTGCTCATCCCAACACAAAGTGATTTTTAGAAATTTTTGAAACTTTTGTACTTTTTTATAACACATTTTGCTAATACCAAGTCTGTAGTTTGCCATATTATGTTATTTACTCTTGAAGTTCCTGCCCTATAATCATGGTCCTATTGTTATAACCAGGAACTCATAATTTGTTGGCTCTATCAGGCTTTGTGTATTGTCGGTTGTGATGTGATGCAGCTGTTGAAGCAGCATTTCCATTCTCAGAATTGTCAGGCCTATAATTGTGACTATTGTAAAGCTTTCTCAGGCAGTTCAGATAGTCAGTCATGCTCATAAACGCTCTTTGATTGTCACTTGGGGATCCACTGAGTGGACTTCAAGACTTTAAGTTTGGCTTTGGTGCTCTTGATCAATTTTTCTCTAGCTTCCTTGCAAATCCCCCTTCATCCACATCTCTCTCATTGTGCAACACAACCATGTACTTCACATTTGTGTTTTTCCTTTTATCCCATGCATAAGGAATGCCCTGCCTGCTTTTGGCTCCTGGGGTGTATAAGCCTCATAAATGTGAAAATTCTTCTAAGAAAAACGTGTTTGCACTTTAAGAGAAACATCATTTTCAACATCATTTGGAGATTGGGGAATTTGGGATCTCAGTGACCTAATTGAAAAAAGCTTGTTGATGCCCACGATCCAGCATAATTTGATTAGAGTGGGGGGTGGGGGGGGTGGGGGGGGACTG